CAGGACGGCGGGCGGGTTGGGGGGGGGGGGATCCCATCCACACCGCCTCCCTGGGGCCAACAGTGCCTGCTTGAGGTGGCCGTGCCCCGAAAACACAAGGCGAGGTCAGGACAAGCGGAGGAGCTGCTGGAGCAGCTTCTTAAAGCTTGGTGACGCGACCGCTTGTGGGGGGTGAGCACAGCCCGAGCTGCTGCTGCTCGTCAGGGGCACCGCGCTCCTGGGACCAGCACTTACCTCCGTACCCTTCCGACACCGTGATGTCAAAGTAGTCGCGGAAGGCGGATGCCTGCACGATGCTGTACGTGATCTGGTTGTTTGGAGGGGAGTCCTCGTCAGACGCCTAGGGCACGAGTAGAGAGAATGAACACAGGAGATGTGATGGTGACGCGCCAACGGGAAAGAGCCGAGGGGATGGGAGGTGAAGGCTGCGCCCAAGGAGAGTGGAAAAGTGATGGAGGAAGAGGCACTCGTGAGGGGCCCCAAGGGGGTTTGTAAACCAGCCTCTCCTCCCATCCCACCTCCAGGGAAGGGCTCGCCAGGTCCGCCTCTCCCTCCCGCCTGCGGCCCACGGAAGGAAAGTTGTGCTCTTGCATCGTGGCAAAGTTTATTCTTGTGCTGAAGGAGCAAGCAGTCTTCCCTAGCTGCCTGCCTTCTACAGCAGAGGCTTACGGCTCCATCAACAACAAACAGAGCGCCTTCCCCTCCGCGTGCCTCCTGACTTCAGTGAGCAGAGCAGGGCGATACGGAGGCAGCGCCTGTTCCCTGGGAAAAACCCCAGGTCCTGGGGATGCCCTATAGGCACAGGACTGAGAGGAGAGGACGAGGAGGGAGGCAGCTCACGGCTGCAGCGCTGCACCCAGTTGCACTTTGCAGTCATGTGCAAAGCACTTTTCGGGAGGGACGCAGGAGGAACAGCAGCAGAGGTGAAGGGAGACCTAACCCACACCCATCTCCCCACTGTGCATCCGGCGCAGAGGAGCCGCTCCGGACCCTCACCCGGAGCCGGACCACCTGGGTGACGGAGGGCTCGTTCTCCCGCAGGGCCCCCAGGTATGCCTCCTTCTGGAAGGTGGGGACGTTGTCGTTGACGTCGAGGACGTTGATCCTGACGCGTCCCGTCGTCTCCTCCCCGCCGCCGTCCCGGGCGATGACGGTCAGGGTGTAGCGCTGCGTGGTCTCAAAGTCCAGCCGAGCCGTCAGGAGGATTACGCCCGTGTCCTTGTCCAGCGAGAAACTGAGGGGACAGGAGAGGAGGGGGAAAAGCCCTGGTGACCACAGGCTGGAGATGGAGAGAGAGGCTGGCAGCAGCCTGACAGCTAGCACTGCGGTGGGGGAAGTTCATGGCTTGCTTCTGAGGGATATTAGGTCCCAGAGCATCTTCAAGAGCTCGGTGCAGGTAGAAACCCTGAGTGCTGCTCTACAGACAGAGGAAACAGGCTCAGAGGTCCCCAAATCCCTTCTGCTGGGTGGCCCACGTGCCTTCTGCAGCATGCATTTATTGGCCCCAAGCACACCGGTGCCTGTACGTCCCGAATTAGCAAAGCGATGAAACGTGCTGAGCATCAGGCACGTGCTGAAGTTGAACTCACCCCTTTGGGAGACAGCATAGTGGGATTTCCATAGGGTATCTCGCAGGTAGGACGTAACAAATGCCCTTAATCGCCACGTGACGACTTAGTGAGGTTAGAAGAAGATTTTGAAGAACCAAAGCCATGTCGGTGGTTCAGTCATACTTACCGGTCGGGGTCATCGCTGAAAAAATAACTGACTTTCCCATATGTGCCCACGTCGTTATCAGTTGCCTAGGGAAAAAAAAAAAGTTAATTAATAAATGAAGGTACTTATGGGAACGTTGCATTATACCCACTGGTGAATCCTTTACATCCTCTTTACCTCCTTCTGCACCGGCGTGGACCTTGTGTGCTCCCATTTATCGCCCGGGGGGCGCGGGGCTGGGGCTGCCTGTGCTCGCCTGGGTTATTCTGCACATCCCCGACTCACAGCCTGCTCCAGATAACGGCCCTCCATCCACATCACTCCCGACCATTTTGGCAGTGGGAGATGTTACGTACGCATACTGTCCCCGACAGGCTAAGCTAAGCTGGGAAGTGCACGTGAAATAAAGGTCTCCATGGACAATTCTCGTGGACCACCCATCCTGGCCCCATGAAGCCCAAGAGCCGGGACCCCGCATCCACCCCGCATCCACAGCTCTTAGTGTTCCCCGGGCACCCAGGGCTGACAGCATGCCTGGGGCTGTGGGGAGAGAAACAAAAACCTATCCCGCTTCAAAACTGCCCCCCCAGGCTAAAACACAGACCAGGAGAAGCAAGGAAAGGGATTTAGACCTTGCCTTTCACGAGCAGCTCCCGC